CAAGGAGACCGCCCAGGTGGTCCTGGAACACGTCTTCCGGATCCACGGACTGCCAAAGGATGTAGTTTCTGACCGTGGTCCACAATTCTCCTCCGCTTTTTGGAAGGAGTTCTGTCACCTGCTGGGAGCCACAGTCAGTCTGACTTCCGGATTCCATCCCCAATCCAATGGGCAGTCAGAGCGGGCAAATCAGGAGCTCGAGAAGGCACTGCGATGCATGACTTCACGCAACCCCCACTCCTGGTCGCAGCAATTGACATGGGTGGAGTACGCACACAATTCTCTGACCTGCTCTGCCATCGGTATGTCCCCTTTCCAGTGTGTTTATGGATACCAGCCTCCTCTATTTGCCAGCCAGGAAGAGGAGGTTACTTGCCCATCTGCACTTGCTTTTGCCCGTCGATGTCGCCGCACCTGGTCACAAGCCCGAGCCACACTCCTCAGATCCGTTGCCAGCTACACTACCGGGGCCAACCGTCGGAGAATTCCTGCTCCCACCTACCATGTTGGTCAAAGGGTGTGGTTGTCATCGAAGAACCTGCCACTCAGGGTGGAGTCGCAGAAGCTGGCACCTCGGTTCATTGGCCCATTCCCTATCATAAGAGTGATTAGCCCAACTGCTGTCCGGCTCCAACTGCCTAATTCCCTGAGGGTGCACCCCACTTTCCATGTGTCTAAGATTAAGCCCATTCATGAGAGTCCGCTGGTCCCTGCTGCGCCTTGTCCTCCTCCTCCACGGCTCGTCGATGGTGGTCTGGTTTACACCGTCCGCCGCCTGCTTCGGTCCAGACGGAGGGGTAGGGGTCTCCAGTACCTCATTGACTGGGAGGGCTATGGACCTGAGGAAAGGACCTGGGTGCCAGCTAGTCGGATTGTGGATAGGACTCTCATCACCGCCTTCCACCAACGGCATCCTGATCAACCTGCAATCCGTAGGGGCCGCCCCAGAGGGGTCCCTAACCGTCCTGCCCGCTCGGCTTCCTGTCCTGTGCCTGATCCTGTCTCGGGACCTGTCCCATCTCCCGACCACGGCCCTCCGGCTTCCTCCGAGGATGAGGACGTTCACTCGGACCGTTCGGAGGAGTTCTAGCCCTCCTCCGGCTCCCCTCCTCCCGCCCGGCGTGGTGTTGCTCTTGGGACTTCTGGGGCCGTCCCTTGGGGGGGGGGTTCTGTCATGAGCCTCTCACTCCACCGGGTTACCACCTTAATTTTCTTCCACTCTGCTCACCACTCTCTCTACTCAGCCTAACTAGCTCCACCTGTCCCTGCTCTGCTCTGCTCTAATTACTCTGCCAGCTGCGCTGCATTACCCACTACCTCTCCCAGTATTTAAAGCCCTGTCTTTCAGCTCTCCTTTGTCAGATCGTCTGCAAAGCTCACACCCGGAACCTGTTTGCTCGCGCTTCTGGCTCACCCTGGTTTTGTGTTCCCGGACCTGCCTGATGTTTGGACACTCTTCTGCCCCAGGAGATCCAGACCTGCTTTTTGCCATAACGACTCCTGACTACTCTTCGATCCCGGTAACTCTGACCAGCCTTCTGCCTTGCTACTACGTATTTGGATTTCCCTTGAACTGTACTGCTGCCTTGTTTCATCCGCCCTGTTGTGTCTGTGTCTCCCCCCCCCCCAGGACTTCTGGACCACCCACCACCGGCTTCATAGGACGCATCGCTGCCACTGGGGGGGGGCACAGATCCAGCACATTGGACGGGATCCCTGTTACCCCTGGAGCCTTCACTCACTCCCTACTTCCCTTTTCCCTTAAGTTTTAATAAACTTTCTGGTGTGACGCAATTGTGGTCCTCTGGTCGTCTGTCTGAACCGTGACAGATTCAGTCTTCCCAGCCTGGTGCAGGTCTACAATTTTGTTTCTGCTGTCCTTTGACAGCTCTTTGGTCTTGGCCATAGTGGAGTTTGGAGTGTGACTGTTTTAGGTTGTGGACAGGTGTCTTTTATACTGATAACAAGTTCAAACAGGTGCCATTAATACAGGTAACGAGTGGAGGACAGAGGAGCCTCTTAAAGAAGAAGTTACAGGTCTGTGAGAGCCAGAAATCTTGCTTGTTTGTAGGTGACCAAATACTTATTTTCCACCATAATTTGCAAATAAATTCATTAAAAATCCTACAATGTGATTTTCTGGATTTTTTTCTTCTCAATTTGTCTGTCATAGTTGACGTGTACCTATGATGAAAATTACAGGCCTCTCATCTTTTTAAGTGGGAGAACATGCACAATTGGTGGCTGACTAAATACTTTTTTTCCCCACTGTACATTTGAGGTATTTTTAAAGTTTAATTAATGGGTAATGGCAGTAATGAATGTTATAAACAGCAGATGTGGCAGTATAGTAGTACAGGGGACTGGTAGGGGAATGTGACTATGACTGAGGTCACATGGGGATATAATGAGGCTGATTCTGGCTCAGGGGCTTTTGCTGGATCTTACTCTCATACTGTATGCACCTTAAAGGTTTGATAGAGTCATTCTTATGTAAGGGTTAGATGTGTTTTAGGTTTATTTTACCACCCACATACTGTACAGTATACACGAGTCAGTATGTATTATCAGCGCTGTGTTGCCAAGCGCCTGTATGTTAATGATGGGCTCTGGTGAATGTGGTTTTACATTGAGAGAGAACACCACCATACAGTTACTCGGTTTGTGGTTAAACCAAACCTCACAGAGTGGAGAAAGCTTTGCACGCATTGCAAATTAAGCACTGGTTTATAGGTACTATGTCTGCTCACTGATAAAAGAAGAGAGGGTGGGACATAGGAGCCATTCAAGTATCTTGTTCTATAGATACCATGCTTTATTTTACAATGTATTCAATAATTCAGTCGTAGAAATGTTTAGCAGTTCTTTTTCTCTATCATAACATTATAACTTAGAACACTTTGCAAAAATTTAGCAGCAACAGCTAGTAATATATATTTTATGTCTTGAATAAAAACTGTATCTCAGAATGTCCCTTGAGCTAAAGGCAGGTGTGGCAGAGGAGAGCAGAGGCTCCTTGCAGTGGGACATCTGCAGCTCTTTCAGTGGGACAGACCGCACAGGACACTGTAACATTGTGCCAGAGCACAGACAGGCCCCCACAATAACTTACCCCAGAACAGTGAATTAGCACAGTCAAGCCAGAAGCTCCCCTCTTCCCAAGGTTGTATGTACAGTAAATTAACGCTTCCATTCTCTGTACCTCTTTCCTTTTTAGAAAGATTTCCGGGATATCTTCACGCCCATCCATTTTGAGGTGACGTACGCCCTCAGAGAGCACACTGTTCGTAACTGGGGATCCAGAACTTTCCCAGCCCTGAAACCCATCCTGCAGCAGAGAGGGGGGCACACCAACCTGGTGGCCAATAAGGTGATTATCTTACAGCTCGCCACTCACATCGATGCATGGTTAGGAGAATAGGACCAATTTTGGAGACATAAATTCAGCTTAATCCTGGAATTAAAAATCATGCTCAATGGAGAATCTCCCTGCATTGAAATTGCTCTTTAGTCCAGGTACTAGGCTTAATCTATGCCCAGGGAACCGATGCTACACTCTTAGAAAAAAAGGTGCTATGTAGAACCTAAAAGGTTCCAGGAAAACTTTTGGGTTCCTTGTAGAATCCTTTTCACAGAGGGTTTTATATGGAACCCAAAAAGGTTCTGCCTGGAACCAAACAGGGTTCTCCTATGGGGACAGCCGAAGAAGCCTTTTGGAACCCTATTTTCTAAGAGTGTAGAGTTCTCCACTTACATTCATGTATGGTAGGTACTGTATAGTAGAGGATACATTACTGTATTTTCAGTGACGGCATCATGATCTAACACTAACCTTTCTTCTCCAGACGGAGTTTGCTCGGTACTGTTCTTTGGCCAACTGTTCAACAAATCTGCAGGTCTCTGCTTACCTGGTCTTACCACAGTAAGTAGCATTTAGCATACATGTTCAATTAGAATATGTTGGTGTTTTCTTTGTAATACAAGCTTTTGTCTTGAAGCTTTTACTTTTTATTTCTCATCTCTGCTGTGGACAAAACTGAGCTTTTGAAAGGTTTACTTTACAAATTCATTACAGCACCAAAACAAACATTATTTATGTGGAAAACAACCTTCATAGGATTAGATCAGGTGTTGACTGTAGTGCCCCATGATGTCAATACTCTCCAGTTCACTTCATTAAGGGGGGATTGATGTACATGTTTATTCATGGTCATTTCCCCTTAAACGCTTAACTGGCAGGCTAATTTCTGTTGCTCCCAGGGAATAATACATTCTGTGATTATTCATGAGGCAGAGGTGTGTGTGTGTCTCACCTTGCTCAGTTAGATGAGAAGCATCAGGCTTGTGAGCCCCTCGTTGTTTGTGTCATGAAAACGTACGCACACACACCTCCCCCCACCCCACACACACCTTGAGACCAACTTACCCACAAAGCAGCCAATTCTTCAACATGGACATTAGTCATTTTAAAATGCCTTTTCCCTCCCCATATTGGACACACAGGGCTTCTTTGAAAAGCTGATTATGCATAGCCTCTTCCCCTAACAGTGCAGCTTGTCTAGGGCTATGTCCCAAATGGCACCCTAATCCCTACGTCTGTGCTGCTTTTATAAAAGTAATGCACTTTGTAGGGGATAGGGTGTCATTTGAGACGCTTGTCTCAGTGCCAGTTCAGTTCCCCTCCCTAAGGTGTAGAGTGACTAAGTCCTTGCTGTAAAGCCATGAAATCAACACGACTCTGCATAACGGGTACATTCTGATGTTTCCCTAACTGTGACTGTTTAGTCTGCTCTCCTCTGAAACCATGATTCTGGCACTTTATGGAAAGTTGTATGATTTAAGTCAATCAAAGTATGAAATAAGATGTTATTTTGTTGATTGGGGTTGTAGCACAGATGTGCTGTAGTCACAGGTATGAGGCGACAGCCTTCCAGTTTTATACATAGGGCTCTATTCAATCCAGCCCCTAAAACTGTTATTCTTGCAGGAAACACAACAACATGCCGTACTTTGCATTGGGTAATGGGAAGACCATCATGTTAAACACAACCCTGGTGAACGCTGGAGATGATGCCTTCCTCCCCAGGCTCCAGCTAAATTTCCCCTCCAACCTGCAGTACATCAAAGTGCTTGATGCAGTATGTGTTTGATTGATTTATTGATTACCCAAAGTAGCAGTTATTACATTTCTCACATGCTCACCAATGTAATTTAGACGATGTTGCACTGCAATTCTAAGAAACACGCAAAATCCTGTGAAAAAGCAGAAGAATCTATGCGCTCTTGGATTGAAATAAATTACACACACAATCCCATTATCTGTTATTATTTTCAGGAGGAGAAGTATGTGAGCTGTGACATTTCAGAGGAGAACAAGACAATAGTAGGAATGGACTGCAGTGTTGGGAACCTGTACTTCAGCTCTGGAGCCAAGGTACTGTAGGCACAACACTCAAACATACTCCAAACTTACTCTAATGTTACTCCAGCCTTACTCTAATGTTACTCCAACCTTACTCTAATGTTACTCCAGCCTTACTCTAATGTTACCCCAGCCTTAGTATAATGTTACTCCAACCTTACTCTAATGTTACTCCAGCCTTCTCTAATGTTACTCCAGCCTTACTCTGTTACTCCAGCCTTACTCTGTTACTCCAGCCTTACTCTAATGTTACTCCAACCTTACTCTAATGTTACTCCAGCCTTCTATAATGTTACTCCAGCCTTACTCTGTTACTCCAGCCTTACTCTAATGTTACTCCAACCTTACTCTAATGTTACTCCAGCCTTACTCTAATGTTACTCCAGCCTTACTCTAATGTTACTCCAACCTTACTCTAATGTTCCTCCAGCCGTACTCTGATGTTACTCCAACCTTACACTAATGCTACTCTAACATTACTCCAAGGTTACTCCAACATTACTCAAATTTTACTCCCATGTTACTCCAATTTTACTCTATTAATCTGGGTCTGGATACTTTCACTGGATACTTTAACTAATTACCCCACTGGGCACAAACATAATAATAATAATAATAATAATAATATGCCATTTAGCAGACGCTTTTATCCAAAGCGACTTACAGTCATGCGTGCATACATGTTTGTGTATGGGTGGTCCCGGGTATCGAACCCACTACCTTGGCGTTACAAGCGCCGTGCTCTACTAGCTGAGCTACAGAGGACCATCCAAAAGACATCAATTCAACGTCATGGTTGGGAAGGTTACTTTCTTAATGTAATCTGTTACAGTTACTAGTTACTTGTCCAAAATTGTAATCAGTAACGTAACTTTTGGATTACCCAAACTCAGTAACGTAATCTGATTACTTTCAGTTACTTTTAGATTACCGTCCCCTTAAGAGGCATTAGAAGACCAAAAGGACCTATCAAACACATTTAGTGTGTCATCATAGTGGTCTCTGACTTGTGGTCAGACTCGATCAGGTGAAACAAACTTAAACTTGCACCTTTTTTTCAATGCTGAATTGAATGTCATTGAGAAAACAGAAAGGTGTATTTAAAAGTAACCCAAGAAACAATCATCAAGTTTTTAAAAAAGTATCTGTAATCTGATTGCAATATTTTTGCTGGTAAGGTAACTAACTGATTACAGTTTTTTTGTAATCAGATTGCCCTGTTCAATGTCTATTCCATGTTGGTTCAACGTAATTTTACTGAAATGGCGTGGAAACAACGTTGATTCAACCAGTGTGTGCCCAGTGGGGATCCAGACCCATATCTTCTGTTTGCTGCCAATGCTGCTGCTGTTTTAAAGGCAGCGTTTTATAAACTACTGTTTAAAAGGGTAATGTCTTGCTTGATAGCTAATCAGAATTTCTGTATTTTCTGCAGGTGAACATCAGCTTTCTGTTGGATGTAAACCAGAGTAGCAGTGCTGGTGACATTAGCATCTCCATCAACACTAGTGGGTAAGTACAGACCCATAAAAGAAAGATAGATACCTGCACACTGAATCCGCCTGCAGTGTTATTGAGTGCAATGTTTTGACCCTAGGTCTTTGTCATAATCTTTATTTTATGACATTTGCAAGTAACCAGATCTGCTTACACTACTTCTGACCTTAGCACAGACCCCCTAACCCCCGAAAGCAATCTTTCTCCAAAAGACATGAAATAATCGAATGGCACGTTTTTTAAACTGCCGTCTTGTTACACCGTCGGTGACGTCTTGCTACTGGCCAGCCTTATTAAACCAAACAGGCAAACAGCGGATCGTAAAACAGCCCAATGAGACACTGAGTGTACAAAACATTAGGAACACCTGCTCTTTCCATGACATAGACTGACCAGGTGAATCCAGGTGAAAGCTATGATCCCTTATTGATGTCACCTTTTCAATCCACTTTAATCAATGCAGGTAAAAACATTATTTTCAAGCCTTGAGACAATTGAGACATGGATTGTGTATATGTGCCATTCAGAGGTTGAATGGGCAAGACAAAAGATTTAAGTGTCTTTGAACAGGGTATGATAGTAGGTGCCAGGCACACCGGTTTGAGTGTGTCAAGAACTGCAATGCTGCTGGGTTTTTCACACTCAACAGTTTCCTGTGTGTATCAAGAATGGTCCACCACCCAAAGGACATTCAGCCAATTTGACACAACTGTGGGAAGCATTGGAGTCAACATGGGCCAGCATCCCTGTGGAACGCTTTCGACACCTTGTCCATGCCCCGACGAATTGAGGCTGTTCTGAGGGCAAAAGGGTTAGAACTAAATATTAGAAAGGTGTTCCTAATGTTTTGTACACTCAGTGTATGTGTTTGTTCTGTTGCTAGGAGAACAGGAAGCACATCCCCAGTAAGCTGAATCATTCCAATCAGAGGGTGCTGCAGGTTCCCTCTTTTGGTTTCCTCCTGTAGTTGTTTCATAGTTGTGTGATTGAGAAGAACTTCCGGCGCATGTTTTGTCGTTTGGGTAAAGAAAGGCTTTGGAATGTTTGACTGTTCCAGAACACTCTAAAACACTCCATGTTCATTTCTGGTAACACTTAACTGGAGATATTCCTTGAGTTTTATTCAAAGACCATACATATGAAGTTACTACCTGTCTTCATACATATTTTGAAATGGACGACTTACCAACATGTGAATTAGATCTGTAGCTGTAATAAAACCACCAGGGGCGTCATGCACCCATTATTTTAGAGGGGGCTTGAAGTACGGGAAGGGGGGACGGAGGGTCAGGGGTGGTCAGAGAATTTCGTAATTTTCAAACAGCTGAAACAGCTTTTTCCTGCAATCTAGAGCCATAATCATTATGCCTAGTTTTATGTCAAAAATATGTATATTTTTCTGCATAGGTTATCTAAGCATACTTCTTTCCCTGTTCAATTGTCATTTTATTTAATGAGGCACATAGATTTTTTAAGAACCTTTATGCCTTAGGGGTTTAGTACAACTGCCACATTGGTATATAGTATCATAACCCAATAATTAATAAAGCAATTTTATTATATTCTAAAGTCTAGCAACCTTGCCAGCAGGCATGCCAGCTAAGATAGTTAGACTAGCTACTCTAACATGATTGATAGCCTGAAATGGCTTGGTAGCTAGTTATGAGATTGGGACATTTTATTTTTATTTATTCATCAAGAAGGAATCAATAGGCTACATGGCTTGATCAAATTCATTTACAAACATACCTCCTGGGAGTCCTGCCCATCACCGGCAGCTAAAATGAAATCAAACGCTGTGTGTGACACTCTCCTCCTCCACTGGCAACACTGTCTGCATGTATGTCTTTGCTCCATGGTGGACCTTGGAATGAACCACTTACTGGGGGGGTACTCTTTGCCTGGTCTAGTCAGTGTGCCCCCTCCACAAAATACCACTGACAAATCCTTTTATAAATAAGTTTAGTCATTACTTTAACATCTTAACATTTTAAAAACAGGACAGATCTGAGGGGGCATGTGCCCTTGTGCCCCTGTGGGCATGACGCCTCTGAAAACCATCTTCAAGTATCATGTAATGTGTGAAGGTATGCTTTGGCCCCTCACCGTGAGAAATACTTGGAATGTGAAGTTCTGCAACGTATGATGTTTGGAAATTCTTTGGCTTTGAGTTGAATTCCTTTAACAGTATAATGGCATTGGCTGTGCTTAAGTGCAAGATACATTGTCATGTTTTGTTTTTCAATATATCAAATTGATTAATATGAAATGTAATCCAAATAGATAATTTCTTATTTTATTCTGACATTGTCTTTTCTAGAGACAATTATGAAAATGTGGATCTTCTGCATGACAACTCAGCCACTCTGATGTTACCATTGAGATATGGCGTGGATGTCAGCGTCCATGGGTAAGACATTTATTTACAGTAACAAAGACAGTTCTTCATTCTTCATTGACAGTATATATAAACATTTATTCTTGTACTTCATAAGCTAATTAGTGCTCTCCCTTGCAGGTTTGTGACTCCAACATCCTTTGTATTTGGTGACCAGGAGCCTACTCCAGTTGATTGCTACACAGAGACATTCAACTACACTTACAAGGTATGTACTGTAAATAAATAAATAAATAAATAAATAATATGCCATTTAGCAGACGCTTTTATCCAAAGCGACTTACAGTCATGCGTGCATACATTTTTTGTGTATGGGGTGGTCCCGGGGATCGAACCCACTACCTTGGCGTTACAAGCGCCGTGCTCTACCAGCTGAGCTACAGAGGACCACCGTAGAGATACAATATAACATTGTTTTATAACAGAAACTGATGTAATCACTACAGCCTAGTTGGAGTATTTGAATGACTGACTGACTTTATACTGACATATTGTATCTGTGTGCCTTGACAGGTTGTCAATATCGGTCCAAGCAAATCTCTCAACACAAAAGTTGAGATTGATATTCCCAAGATACTATCACCGTATCCATACAGATTACTCCACATTGTAGATTTTCAGGTAAGTGTGTGACTGATTGATGAAACATACAGCCCTTAGCCGTGGTATATTGGCCATACCCTGAGGTGCCTTATTGCTATTATAAACTGGTTACCAACGTAATTAGACCATTAAATAGTAATTTCTTGTCATACACATGGGTTGTTTGAGCCCTGAATGCTAATTGGCTGACAGCCATGGTATATCAGACCGTATACCACGGGTATGACAAAACACATATTTTTACTGCTCTAATTACGTTGGTAAACAGTTTATAATAGCAATAAGGCACCTCGGGGGTTTGTGATATATGGCCAATATACCTCGACTAAGGGCAGTGTCCAGGCACTCCGTGTCGCGCCGTGCAAAAGAACAGCCCTTAGCCGTGGTATATTGGCCATATACCACACCCCCTCGGGCATTATTGCTTAAATATACCATGGCTTTCAGCTAATCAGCATTCAGGGCTCGAACCACCCTGTTTATAATGACCAATATCTAACTTATTTTCTTTCCTCATCTGTTAGACCTCTCTTGGAGAATGCTCCATTAAAAACGGCTCTATCACAGTAGAAGATGATTGTGAGGTGCCACGATCGTCTTTAATCAAGGAACTGGTCTTCTTCTTCTCCAAAACCAGCAAACGCAAAATGGTAGATACCCCCCTCTCCTACTCCTATAATGTATATAGTTACAGTATGTAGCAGGGTTTTTTGTAGCAGGTCAATTCCATATTGATGCAGTCATTTCAGAAAGTTAATTAATTGGAATTCTACTTCTAATTTTCCTCTCATCTTTTCAATGAGGAAAATTTGAATTTTAGTTTACTTCCTGAGTTGACTGACTTGAAATGGAATTGGCCCTAACCCTATTATGTAGCAGTGCCGTATTCCACTGATGTTGATGTTTTAAAATGAAATCACAATAGTGTTGTTTCTCTCCATAGTTCTGTGCTCACGGAGACGACCTGTGCCTGATTCTGGAGTGTAGACTAGGAGACATGGACATTGGGAAAGAAGCCACCATTCACATGGAAGTGAAGCTGAACCCCACCGTTCTACAACTCTCACCGGTAAACACTTCACTAATGCTACACTTTCAAATCTTTTAAAATGGCAACAGGAGTCAGAATTTCTTCATTGAGGATATTAAAGTGTTCTAATGTAATCAAATCTAATCTTCCCCTCCCTCTCCTCAGGGTCGTCATGGAGTGATGCTGATAGAGAGTACTGGCATCATCACATCACCAAGGGAGGACCCTCATACCATCCTATTACAGCAGATCCCTATCGCTCAGGTAAGATATGATAGACCTATAGGGTAGTGATACATTGGCCTTATACAGTAATCTTTTGGAGGATACCATGTCACTGTTCCACAATGGAGATCACTCAAGTCCATGTCAAGTCCAAGTCCATGCACTTGACACATTTATGAAATTGCTTATTCCAGTTACTAAAATTGTTTTTCCAGTAAAAACTGTTAAATCCGCTTGGATTGATGAGGAATTGAACAATGTTATGGTTGAGAGTGATGAGGCAAAAGGTATGGCAAATAAGTCTAGCAGCACAACTGATTGGCAAACGTACTGCAAATTGAGAAATCATGTGACTAAACTGAATAAAAAGAAGAATAAACTATACTATGAAACAAAGATAAATGATATCAAGAATGATAGTAAAAAGCTTTGGAGCACCTTAAATTAAATGTTGGGCAAAAAGGCAAACTCAGCTCCATCATTCATTGAATCAGATCGCTCATTCATCACAAAACCCACTGATATTGCCTACTTATGATTTTTTCATTGGCAAGATTAGCAAATTTAGGCATGACATGCCAGCAACAAACACTGACACTACACATCCAAGTAAGGAAGCCTCACCAACATAATCCAGGTAGAATCAGGAATTCCCCAGGGCAGCTGTCTAGGCCCCTTACTTTTTTCAATCTTTACTAATGACATGCCACTGGCTTTGAGTAAAGCCAGTGTGTCTATGTATGCGGATGACTCAACACTATTCACGTCAGCTACTACAGTGACTGAAATGACTGCAACACTTAACAAAGAGCTGCAGTTAGTTTCAGAATGGGTGGCAAGGAATAAGTTAGTCCTAAATATTTCAAAAACTAAAAGCATTGTATTTGGGACAAATCATTCACTAAACCCTAAACCTCAACTAAATCTTGTAATGAATAATGTGGAAATTGAGCAAGTTGAGGTGACTAAACTGCTTGGAGTAACCCTGAATTGTAAACTGTCATGGTCAAAACATATTGATACAACAGTAGCTAAGATGGGGAGAAGTCTGACCATAATAAAGTGTTGCTCTGCCTTCTTAACAGCACTATCAACAAGGCAGGTCCTACAGGCCCTAGTTTTGTCGCACCTGGACTACTGTTCAGTCGTGTGGTCAGGTGCCACAAAGAGGGACTTGGGAAAATTGCAATTGGCTCAGAACAGGGCAGCACGGCTGGCCCTTGGATGTACACAGAGAGCTAACATTAATAATTTGCATGTCAATCTCTCCTGGCTCAAAGTGGAGGAGAGATTGACTTCATCATTACTTGTATTTGTGAGAGGTATTGACATGTTGAATGCACCGAGCTGTCTGGACATCCATGCATACCCCACAAGACATGCCACCAGAGGTCTCTTCACAGTCCCCAAGTCCAGATCAGACTATGGGAGGCGCACAGTACTACATAGAGCCATGACTACATGGAACTCTATTCCACATCAAGTAACTCATGCAAGCAGTACAATTAGATTTAAAAAACAGATAAAAATACACCTTATGGAACAGCTGGGACTGTGAACAGACACAAACACAGGCACAGACACATGCATACACACACACGATAACATATGCACTATACACACACATACACATGGATTTTGTGTTGTAGATATGTGGTAGTAGAGTAGTGGCCTGAGGGCACACACTTAATGTGTGGTGAAACCTGTTGTGAATGTATTGAAATGTTTTTAAAATTGTATAACTGCCTTAATTTTGCTGGACCCCATGGGGATCCATAATAAATACAAATACAAATGTCCTGGTAGGGTTAAGAAGTGTCAGGAAATTGCCTGTGTAACCTCTGAGTGCCTTACTATTATAAAACGCTGGAATCTACAGTGTCCATAGTAGGACAGTGGTGGAAATGACAGGACATTTCCAACCTTGTCTGATGTTCCAGGTCATAGATGTACAATGTAATACTAGTGCACTGTATTAATGTTCTGTTTAATTCTGATGTTCCAGGTTGTGTTGGAGGCCCACTTCAACCAGAAGCCTCAGGCAGCAGTGGAGGTGTTCATCATTGTAGGGAGTCTACTGGTGGGGCTCCTGATCCTGACCCTGCTCATCTTCGCCCTCTGGAAGGTCAGGACGACACCTTCAGCTTTAGCTTTTACACTACACACAAAACGGCATACAAACACACTGCAAAAGAAGCAAAGCATTATTTTCCCTCTCCTCATCTGAAACTGAACCTTGTTCTTTCATTCGCAGGCTGGTTTCTTTAAGAGGCAGTTTAAGGAGGAGATCAGGAGGGATAGCTGGGACTATGTACCAAAGAGTGAGAAGACTGAGAGTACATCCTAAGAGTGAGACAAACCAACTGTGTCCTAATACAGAATGGTTCTATACTACAACATGGACTAACTGCTGTGGAACAGCTTTTCTAGTAAAAGGCACATTTTGATTAAAATCATCCAAACCCAAGGGAAAGAACTGCGGGACCATTCAAACTGTTGTGGCTAAGAATCTAGGAATCAACAAAAGAAAGGATGTCATTTCTCTAAAACATGCAAGAGGAAGAACTTAAACTTTGTTGTCAGCGAGACAAATGTATTGCACTTTACCTCTGGCCTTGGTGCAGTGAGACTATAGATCATTGGACTGCGTACATGCAATGTACATTAGAACATGGGCTATGTGGCCTCACAAGAACAGGCCTATCATTCCTGTTTTTATTCCCCACCAAGATCTCAGGATATGAAGACGGAACATTCCATGGTCTTGTTCAATAGGCATGAAACAGAAGAAAACGCTCCAAAACAGAGTGAAACAGGGACTTTCTGTGCCTGTCCATTAATTAAGGACCGCTAATTTTCTGTTGCTAAACATTCTCACATACCTGACTACTTAGATTCGGTCGCACATATTGATTGTGTCTGCTGTACAAAAAATGAATGAATGCACTGCTGAAGCTTTTCTTTATGGATAGGAAGTCTATCTGTATATAACGATATATACACATCTATATGACAAATCTATCCACAATAGGTGTGTATATACTGTGTATATAGATATATCAAGAGGACCTTTCTTTATCACAGTTATTAAATGAAATTTTATTTTTTATCGTTATGGGCTGGGAGGGGAAACAGCCACAAACTGTCACAAAGTCACACATGTATTGTGAAACTAGTGTCACTACATTGAGAAACCATAAGATTGAAAGAAGGAACATTTGTTCTGGTTGATCTGTGAGACCCAGCGTGAGCCTCTGCGGAGCCATACTGCTTAAACCCGTGTTTCATAGAAATGAATAGGAGCATCTCACACTCTGCAAAAGTTACATGTCCAGTGTAGCAGACCTGTAAGACCTCCGGGTTTTTCTCAGTTCAGCAGCTGCACACCAGTACCTGCATCCTGCATCCTGCATAGGTTTTCATTCTTAGGTTTTTATTTTTGCTCACCAGCTTATGAAGTGAATGGGACATAAGGTTTAAGGTTATATATAGAACTGAAGGCAACAGAAGGATGAGGAGGCCAGTGAAGTGTCATCAGTGAAAAAAGGTGGCTGTTGGGTGTAGTGAAAAAAGGAGACTGTTTGAGGTCACTCATTGCAGCAATTCACTGACTCACTCACTGAATGACACATGCCACTCCTCAAGGGGACAGCACCCTGTGTAGGTGTGCATACGTGTGTTTGCGTGTATGCGTTTTCGTGTGTGTGTGCGTGCGTCTGACAGCAACTCATACACCATGCCAGCAGAAGTTTCCAACACAGTCAGAAATGAAAAATGAAAGAGCTTGTTCTTCAGAAATGACTCAAATGGAACACACGGAACACTGGCCTTACCTTTTGGAACATTTTCAGTCCTTTGGATTCGTGTTGGAATCTTTGGATTGAATGGATTCTGTGTTCTTACTGTAGCTGTAAGGGATTGGAACATTCCGGTTTTGGAGCGATGGTAGGCTATGATGATGGTGATGTATGCGAAAGAGTAACATGTTTTTACTGCTTGAATTTTCAGGGAGTCAACCTTTCCTGACCAAGTTGTCAGTTTTGTCAAAAATAAAGGGGGCACATTCCACATTTCTATAAAATGAAATTATTTTTTATTTTTGATAAATAAGTGTGTGGCATGTAAAAATGGACAGATAACATTTTGTTTGTCAACACATTTCGCTTTGGTCTGATAATTTATGTAATTCTGCACTGGAATGTATTATTATGTTGTCTTTGCTTTAATATAAATCAACTTTTTCTATTTAATGTGCCTGTCAGTCCTCCATTTGGTTATTTGACGTCTAACATTCAAAGATGCACAGTAGTAAAGCCTGTAGGTAACATTCAGTGATAGTGCAAATGGAGGTTGTGGGTATAGGCAACCCCTACATACATACAGTTTTAGGTTGTGTGTAAAGATTCCTCTCTTGTAGACAGTTTAAACTGTAGACAGTCTATACACTGAAGACAGTTTCTTGTAAAGCACAGTAGGAAAGACTGTATGTTTCATTCTGTGGCAATGCCAGTGGAGGTTGGTATGTGTATAGACTCCTCCACCCTTTACACAGCTTTAAATGGTATCGATTCCGCTCTACATACAGTGTTAAATGCAGCTGCACTTGATGTGTGCCTCCTCTGCCTCCTCGATGTCCACTCCAAACAGGGTCAGGAGTTGGGGATGTAACCTGGTGGTGAAACAAATCAATCCGTTGAAGAGGTTTTAAATGTCCCATATCTGTACTACTAACTTTCTTCTACTTCAGTGAAGCAGTTTTAAATTAAAATATATGATCGAAAAAAGACTAATGGTTAAATTATACTGAACATGACCTCTAAGAACTCTCTTTGAGGAGTGTAAATTGAACCCAGAGTAATATGATCATGAGATTGGTCATTTAGCAGACGCTCTTATCCAGAGCGACTTACAGGAGCAATTAGGGTTAAGTGCCTTGCTCAAGGGCACATCGACAGATTTTTCACCTAGTCGGCTCGGGGATTAGAACCAGCGACCTTTCGGTTACTGGCACAACGCTCTTAACCACTAAGCTACCTGCCGCCGACTAGTGACTAGTGTTCACAAAGTGTCTCAGAGTAGGGCTGCTGATCTAGGATCACTTTTAAGATCAGCACTTCTACTCTGATACGCTTTATGAAAATGAATACAACCCCTAATGTATGAGGTTTATCAGTGCAGGTGCTATGGGGCTTTGGGCTGTACCTGATGAGCAGCTCTGAGGGCGCCTCCAGTAGGTCTCCGTCTACGTTCCAGGGGTAGGCCCCCTCGGAGGAAATGATGGGCGTGTTCTTAAAGTCATACTCTCTGTTGTCCTCAGCGATGTCATCAGACCAGCTGCTCTGAGAGCAGGGGCGGAGCCTCACAGCCCACACTGTCTGCGTCTCCACGAAGGAGAAACTGAACTGGAGAGGAGGAGGACGAGGAGGAGGAGAAGAAGAATATTATATTATTGTCCAATTGTATACAAGGAGGATCCAACATCCCTTCCTAGGACCTCCAATAAGCTCTGAGAGGGAGGCGAGGAACAGAGGAAAGAAGGACTGAGAGAACAAGACCATTGTCTCAGTCAGTTGCAACTCCAACCACTAGGGGGCAGTGATGCACAGCAGCAGGCTACATACATGTCCCAGACAAGACAATTCCCTACACAGCAATGACGCCGTCTATGACCCTGGTCACCAAGGTTTCATCCTGTCCTCGACAACAGTTCAGTTCAGTTAAGCCACCGTAACCATGAACATAGTACATATGAACGACACAGCATATCTTTTGTTAATGAAGTAAACAGGGAATGCATGGAGTACAGGGTCTATATATGATAGTGGAACATTTCCAACCACAACTGGTTTATGTATTCTGACTTCCCATCCGCTTTGTGGGATGTTGTTTTGCAGACTTTGTTTCCCAGACATCGTTCAAATCAAATACCGTTTTTTTTTCAATAGAAGTCAGACTATAAATAGACTGGGCTGTTTGTTTGTCTGAGTCATAATTTAATAATTTCAACTTCCTGTTGTTTTCATGGGAAATGGCCCAATAACATAAACATTAGTCAGAACTGCTCCCATATGGACAGCATTGAAATGATGAAGTCCTCTCTAACTATTTGTCTGAACATTATGACAGTACACTAAAGCAATATGTTTGTATCACTCCTCAGGTAGACTTCCACCCACTGTGAGTGATCCCTGCCCAGTCACACAGTCACCCAGTAGCCTGCCGTACAGTACCCTATACCTCCAACTGTTTATTTAGAATGTAGGTTAACAAACAGGCTTAGATTAGATTGTGTTGGATGTAAAAAAAAAAAAAAAGAGGACAGACGGGCTGCTGGCCTCTGAAATTGACTAATCTATATAAGCCTGAAAAGTGTTTTAGGGAAATCTGACAATCAGTGATTAATTTGACTTGACAGTATGCTAATTCCACTTAAACTCTTAGGGAAGCTAACTCCATTAGTGACTGCAGGATTTCCTCTGTGTGTGTGTGTGTGTGTGTGTGTTTGCATATACGCCTGCGTGTGTAAGTGCGTAAGTACGTGCATGCATTTGGGTGTGTGTGGGTGAGTGTGTAAGGAAGGAAGGGCTACCCTGGTGACCTCACCTGATTGTTTACACTGTTGTATCTCTTCAGGTGTTTGATAAACTCTGACCTGGACGTGTTTGCTGCTGTGATCAGGGCCATGCTGCCATTGTTCAGCCTTACAGAGAGAGAGAGATTCATTTTTAAAAATCTGTTCATATGTATACTACATTACTGTGGCCAATGCAATCCAAACAGGTTGATAAAGCAACAAATCCTATATTCTTCCTGTCATCTGTCACCATGCAGTAGAATAGAGAATGTCAGGAACAGAACAGAGAGTGGTATTCATTAGTTCTACTTACACCTACTACTGTATGTGTTATTGTAAACGTGTCAGCTAATATTACATATCTACAAACACTACTGTTCCTTGTGTAGTTAAGGTTGATGATGCTATAATAAGCAGTGTGGTTCCACTTCACTGTGTGAGGCCTGTTGCTCTACCACATGCTACATCATTACTGAGGCCAGACTCAGACTGTGGCTGTCTCAAATGGCACCCTATTCCCTAAGTAGTGCACTATTTTGAACAAAAATACAAAAGTAGTGCACTATACAGGAGCCTAGAAGAACCTTTTGGGGTTCTAAAAATTGCCACATGGGGAACCTTTCCAGTCCAAAAAGGTTCCTCGAGAAACCCCTCTGAAAAGGGCCTTTGAGGAACCCCTATGTAAAGGTTCAAACCAGAACCTTTTTGTGATTGGAGAGGTTCAATTTTGAACCTTTTGAATAATATATTGTAGAGGTGTCAGCCTATCAGAA